GCGGGGGGGGGGGGGCGGGGAGAACAAACTAAATATAAATATGTGAGGGTAACTAGAATAAGATTCTTCATCCTGACGTATGTGAATTAAATTCCTAGTTATCAGAAATGAAAAAGCAGTGTTTAAATTTAATAAACTATGAAGTAGCAATTTAAACAAATTTTAAGGGTTTGTTGGTATGGTAGGCAAAGCTCTAAACTGTCACCCCAAATTCCCATACCCTCACGTAGCACTGTATAATCCCGTCCCCTTTAGTTTCAGTGAGATTGTCAATACAGGTATACCTCCTTTTTTTGAACTTCTTTTTATTACACCTTTCGGGTATAGCATTTTTTATAAATGGAACGCATGACCCTCCACCAGCAAAAAGATTACAGCTAGGCTTTTTGTGTTTGTGTGTGCTACCTGATTATGAAGGTGGTCTGAAAATAATCCTACAGTATCTCCAAGGTATGCCTGCATCATAGGATGATACTCTATGATTAGAATACAGGAAATGGCAACGATGAGACTATTTTTCAGAGGTAATTAAGATTCTACATTAGCCCATTTTCAGTTAATTGAAAGAAATATTATGAGTGAACCGACCTACTCAGAAAACACTTAAAAGAAACTGTACAGACCAGATAGAGAGATGAGTCAGAGATGCTCTCCAGTGACCTTGAATAAGCAGGAGGCCATGCTGTGACTGCCTATGAAGGGCGTGGACTCTGGGTGCTAACAACCACAAGGAACTAAATTATGCCAACAGCTCAAATGAACTTGGAAGAGGACTCTGAATTTCAAATGAGAATACAGCTGGCCAAGACCTTGGTTCCAGCTTTGTGGAACCACAAATAAAGGGAAAAACTAAGGCATGCTCAGTTTTTGATCCAGATAATATGAGATAAGAAACGTGTGTAGTTTTAAGTTTCTAAATTTCTCATAGCTTGTTATGTATCAGTCTGTAACATGTATTATATACATTCAAGATAATACACATAGAGTAACAGGATAAAATTAAAGAAATATAAACTGACAACTGGCCATATCATTTCACTTTATGTGTTTCTTAGATATTCCTACCTTTTACATCCAGCACTGATATAGACACTCAACTAGTCCTTCCATATACATTAGCCCATTTCACAGAAAAAATTAAAGAGCATAAGAAGAAAAACAATGTATCTTTCCCCAGAGAGTATATCAGAAATCTGACGTCAGAAGGAAAAAAAAAGATAGTTTTGTAGAAAGACTTTTATAAAAGAAGTCTTTCTCATCTCAAAGCCTACACAGCTATTTTCAGAATTAAAAAAAAAATGTAGAATGCAGGTAAGAGTAAGAAGAACAGTAATAAAAAATGAAATGGTTCTGATGGTTCTGAACTGAGAAGTAACTAGTATGATGAGACCATGCTGTGGAAAGACACTGCTATATCCTCCATTGAAGCCACAGCTTTCCACCATAGTACTCTGAGATGATACGGAAGCTAAAAAAAACCTCTGAGCTTTATAATTGGGCGGCAATAGGAATTTTTTTCTTTGGGGAGAGGGGGCAAATTTTTGACATAGATTATTCTCTGAAATTGAACAAAACCTGCCATATTTCTCACTTTCTGTTTCTTCTTTGCTCTTGCAACTGTAATGAATGTTCATGAGTTCTCAATAAAAAGGCATATTGGGCTCTGGACATCTCATAGCGTGACAATGTAGAAAGTAATCATTTGAACCTATACTAGTGTGTGGCTAAATGAAAACAATTGAGATTCATCCTGGACAAACTTTATAAAGAGAGACTATCCTTAGTTCATACAGAGAAAACCTACCCAGAGCAGGATACAAACAAACTAAAACAAACAAACAAGCAAAAACCTAGATGAACTGGCTTCATGGAAGGAAGACAGAAAGATAAGATAATGGGACAGAAAACTATTGATTTCTTTATAAACTTATTAACATCATTTTCACATTTTTAGTTAAAAATATATCATTGTGAAATCACATGGAGAACAAAGCCAAAACATGTAAAATACTTGGTAATACAATGCAGTTTCTCTTAATGCAAGTTAAATGTTTTAAGATTTTTATTTCATCTTTTGCTTTTTATAACATAACCTAAGTGCATTTCTTAAGTCAATCTTTATACAAAAATGTAAACAGTTCAGGTCATGGTCCTATTATATTTATGTTTTTCAATATTTAAAAATAAGAGGTCTTTTCCTCTTCTTGGCTGTTTATATGTTGAATTTCAATTTGGATTCTTAATTATTATGATTTAAGTGCAATATAAAACAGGATAGCAAATAGAGATTTCGATATGATTTTTTAAAGATGTATATGTAACAGTTAAAAAAAAGAAAGAGGATTTTGATATCTGTGAGGTCAGGAATATCATCCGGGTCATAGAATCAAATCTCATTATATTTCCAGTCTTTCTTTGATACATTCAGAAAACCCTCAATAAAATGGGTTGCTCCCTTTCCCACACACAAAACAAGGGAATTGTTAATATTTTACATATAACTTTTAAGAAAAAGTTTTTAGAATTGATTAGAGATTAAGATCCTCACTGCAAGCGACTCTTGCTGATGGATGAGCGTAAGGCAAGAAAAATCTGTGCAGTAAAAAATCAATATTGTAAATTTATGTGAGAGCTTAGAGTCCCTTTACCCTTGCAAACTCTGAAAGCAAACACACAAGAACAACATATTTGGCCAAAGACTTACAGTTGTTCTACAGCACTCAGTGTGTTCCCCTGGGAAGCCAGGTGACACACATGAGGAAACTGTCCTATGGCACTTTCAGTTCTAAATTAAAACATATAGGTGGATAGATATCCAGAAAGAATTAACTTTCAGAAAAGTGAGGTAGGGATGAAACTTCCCAATTAGTATGTCATACAGAGGACTGAAATGATGTTGATATATATTTTATGATGTAAGTTGTTTTATTTAAATTTCTGCAGAGAAAATTCACAAGAACATACATATGAAAAAATATATTACATACAATATTGAACATATGTAATAAATCAAAAGTCATAAAATTCTTTATCTTCATGCTTTATAATTTTACTTGTAAGTACATAAATTTTATCAACTTTAAAACACATTGTTTCAAGTATATGAAAATTGTATAATAAAACATAATGTGAAATAGTTTACAGATCCCATAAGTAGATAGCTATTAATAATATGAGATAAACTTACCATTCTTAGTAGTACTGGACCTTACTGCTCACCCTTTTTAACTTAAAAAAATACACTTAAAAAAGCTGCTGTTTACAGATAAAATGATTTTTATATCTGCAGTAGTCTTCCGAAACAGTTTTGCTTGGGTTATATGCTATGCACTTCTGTATATTTAAATTTTGTGAGAGTGAAAATCTGTAATGAAAAATAAATTGTCAGCATATAGGAAAAGGAAATGATAATGTTCAGGGGTAATTTTTTTATTAAATGTCAAACTTTTAGAAGCATTCAAATGAATAATTAACAGACTGAGTCATTGTATTTTTTTTTATTCAATAGGCATGGTTTTCTTGAATTTAGAATACAATATTATAGAAACTTAGTTATTGTCTCAATAATCAGAAGCAGTGAAGCCATTTTATGTTCTTGCCATTGTTATTAATAGTTTTGATATATGATAAACTTTGCTTCTATTTTCTTTAAAGATTTAACTAATTTAGTCTAGAAAAATAAATCAAAGCGGAACATTTGTCATAAATGATGCTTCAAGCACCATGTTTATAAACAAAAATGAGATTCTAAGATTACAAAAATATAAAGAATAAGTCCAGAATACTTGAAACATGAGGATGCTAAGAATATTAATCTTCCCAGAATAAAGACTATAATGGCTATCCTGTTTTTCCTAGACAGTTTCTCTGTGTGTGAGCATCTGTATATGTACAACATATCCAAGTGCTTGTACCAAGACAAAAAAGTGGTCAAAAGCTCTTTTTTGGTCACAGTACAACAACTTCATTTCACATAGAGGTTCTAGATGGGGCTGAAATTGTTACTCTCTTGTATCTACTCTCTTTTCTGTATTCTCAGACTCCAGACAGGATATTTTAGCTACAGTGTTCCCAGATATTACATTCTCTGGTCAGATCTAAGGATAAACTCATAAAGAACAGAAAAGGCTCAGACTGCCAGAAACTTACAGATCTTGGGAGAAAGCAGAGCCATCCTCCCACACCCAGGCACGATGATCTTTATTGTAGAAGAGTCCAATCCAGTAAAAAGCAATATTGGACTTTATGAAACTCTGTGGGGAAACAGAGACGAACATAGTGACCTAATTTGAATCTACTCTGGGAGTAATATACTTTTAAGAAAGTCAGTGTTCTGAATTAGATTCAGACTTTAAGTTACTCAAACTGAAATTCTTTTTAATGTCTAGTGTAGTACATATCTTACATTTTCTCACCTAAAAGTCCCATTAATTTATCTCCATAAATTATAAATTATAAAAATAGAAAATCTCGCTTCCTGAAGGAGTGATAAATGTTATGAAGGGGTTAGATTTTTATGGAACACTTCCTTCACAGATTGCCAATCAAATCTGATCCCAAACCAACAGCATCTTGAGGGATAAATTTCATGAATATAACCTACTCAACTTATACTCAGCACAGGTTCTATATGTAGATGGAGAAATTTTTCACTGTTTCTGTGAATCATGTAATTATTATGACCATGCTCTCCATATTCATTCCATTTTATATTCCAGAATGATGTTGAAAGCTATATAATTACACAATAAATTATAAATTCAATTAAAGATATAAAATTTAAAAGAAGCTAGATTCTTTGAATAAAAATAATAACCTATTATTTATTTTTTCTTTAATTTCACACTATAACATCCCTTGTATTTTATCTGGCAGGTATCTTCTTGATTTTTATTCTTCTAATATAAATCATTGAGAAATATTATATAGATTTTATAACTATTGTTATAATATAATATTATATAGATTTTATAACTA